CCACGGCCTCCCTCATGGTGAACTAACTATTTCTCATACATACCTCAGACATGGTAGAGAAATTAAAGATGATGTATAACCAGTACGTGACCCCCACCTGATAAACTGCTACTGCTAGGCAAGTGCTGACTGACTGGTAGCTGTCGGAGGCTCGACTCTCCTTAAGCTACATAAATATTTGAGCAAAATGTACTAAGTACTAAGCTCAAATAAAAACTTGATTCTTATTATTAATAGATCTTACTCGGTTCTCTCGCTCGATTAAAATATCATCTAATCTGGATTTAGATGCTTTGAGCTATTCTGAAAATATTTGTTGACTTGAGGCGTTCTAGAGTTCTCTGAAATATTTCTAAGTCTGGTCTGCTTATCTGATTTATCTGATCTAACTTATCTGACTGATCTGATCTTATTTATCTGACTGGGTGCAACTCGACTTAATCGTTGTCCGGGTGCATACGCACGGACGCGACATCAGCCGACGCACAACTTTTCTACTCGGATCTAGAGTTCATCCGGACTGACCGAAAAAAGGCCAAACTAGGGTTCTCTACTCAACCGGCTATCTATCCCGGTTAAAGTCAAAACATTAAGTTCACCGTGATTTCTAGTGATTTTAGCTAAATCTCAACCGGATAAATTCTAGGGTTTTCACCAAAGCAGCTAAAGTCTCGAATTTGTAGGCATACCAAACACCCTCTAAAAATTATGAAATTTAAACCACGTCATACTCAGCATTTATAAGATTTCTCGTGAAAGTGGCATCGAATTTCGAGGTCTTTATCATATTCATAAAAAATCGGGCATTTCAGCTACATATTCAAAAATCCAGTTAACATACTAAACGAGCACCAAAAATTACGAAATTAAAACCTAGGCCTCAAGTCAGCTATACGAATTTTATCACGCTAGTTTTGCATTTTTCCGGGCAGCAACCAATATTTACGGAATTTAATGTCATTTAAGCCGATAAATTCACCATAAATCTTATAATGCTCGAAATCACCTCCCGTAAATTTTAAAATTCATCTAAATACTCAATTAAACTCATGGAGTAAGGTTTAAGCCGATATACCTCTCGAAAGGTTCAAATTGGAAGTCGGAAAAATTACAACGGCTAGAAAATGACCCGGTTGAGCTCGGGTGTACTCGGATCTAGGCTATAGGCTCGGTTTTTGGGCTGAGAATCGCGGATCTGAGGAGCTGGGCTGCTGTTCGGGTCGGACCTGAGGTCAAGTGGTCGGTTCGGGGCTGAAATCCAAGCTCGGGCGCGCGTGGAGGCGCTGTGGTGGTTGGCCCGCGAATGTACTAACACCGGCCACTGTTGGACGCGTGAATAGGAGCTGCAGTCTTCACGCGTGAGGTTGCGGTCGGGTTCGAGGTCGTGTTGTTGGTCTGCTCGTCGAGAAGGAGGGCGACGTGAGCTCGCCGGAAAATGGGGCTGGAGGTTGCTGTTGCGACAGGGAGCTGCGGGTTTGGTCGGAGGACGTTGACTTCACCAGAAATGGAACCTCAAGGTGGCGCGACAGGAGACCGTGGGTGACTGTTGTTCGGTGCTGGAGCTACTTGACGGCAGAAGTGAGGTCGCCGGAGATGGCTGGTGCGAGCTCGACGTTGCCGGAGCTGGGAAGGAGACAACGCCTCTGCAGCTGGGGTCGCGGTGGCTCGCTGAGGTCGCACAACTCGATTGAGGCTGGACAGAGATGCGAGCTCGCGTGGAGTGGAGCTGCTCGCCGGAAAACGGGTGGTGGTCGGCCGGAAATGATGGTCAAGCCATGGGAAAGCTTATGTCCTTGACTTGAGAAGATGGGTTTTTGACTTTAAAAGCTAGATCCTTGAACAAGCTAAGACATGGTGTGGATTTTTGGACTAGATCTTGAAAATGGAAGGTGGAAGACAATGAATAGTAACTTGGGGGCTAGGGTTTTTTGTTGGTGTGTTGGGAGACATGGGGACATGATATTTATAGGAGGGTGGGGAGCTTAGGGTTTTTTGTAGAAATTGGGCTTAAAAATCGGGCCTAATAGATTGGGCTCGATTTTAACGACTTGGGCTCGGATAAATAATTGCTACTAGGCTCGATTATTTAAAATACTACTTGGGCTTGAAAATAACT